AGATATTGTTGCTGGGCCTGGGATCGGAAAGCGCCCGACTCTGACCTGCGAGATGACTGCTCGGCGGCTCGAGCCCGTTTGTGTGATCGCCCTCGCCTGGATCGCGTTCAGGGGCCTATGGGGGCGGTCATTTTATCGTTGCGGCGAGCTGGGTGGGATTTTTTGTTTCGCACCGCCAATTCAGGACGGACCAGGGTGATAGGATTTCTCTGTTCGCCGCTTGTCCCTGGGATGTCAATCAGCGTTTGCGCGAGGGCATCAGCCGCGCCCGAGCGCGGCAGATGTTGGAGGCGATTCCCGAGGCTTGCGGTGATGGGCCTGTCTGGGGGCGCGCGCTCAGATTAGTGGCATTGGTTGTTAAGGGCCCTCCTCGGCAAGCGGCCCTGAGAGGCCTGGCCAGCGGGAAACTTTGGCCGCCAGCCAAGAAGCATCAGCCTGGCAACGTAGCCAGCCCCAAGTGCGAATTCGGTTGCGAGGCTCCTGGCATTTTCGCTTACCAGTGGTATGAGTGCAAACGGGTTTGGGAACCCAGTGATGACCCAGCCGAGGCATCCCTGTTCCCAGGCGGCGTGGTTGAGCATATGAATTCGCTGCGGGACAAAGCGAAGGGACCCCCCCCCCCTCCCCCCGACTTCGACACTCTGGAGTTGGCGCGCGCCCCCCCCCCCCCCCTCAGCGTTGCTCCTGCCCCAGCCAAGTCTTCTCCCCAGTGCTGGGGTGCCACGAACGTGCCGTGGGGCTTTCAACTTTTTGCCAGCGGATCTGGGCTTTCGAGCGGTCTACCCGAAGCTTGTTGCTGCGGGTGGACCGTGGTCGAGCTCAGTCCTGGGGGCTGGCCCATTCGGGCGCGGCTTGGGCCCCGTCCAGGGGCCGTCCAGACCGCCCCCAGGGCCGAAAGGCATGCGTTGCTGCAGGCGGTCCGCCTCGGCCCGAGACGAGTTAAGATTATCAGTGGCCACCTCTCTGCGATGCAAGAGGCATCGAGCTGGTCTGCCGAGCTGGCTACAGGTTGTCACAAGCGCGCGTGCATCTGGCGAGAGTTGGTTCAGTTGTGTCCAGCAGGAGCTCCGCCCAGTGAGAGGCCCCGGGTCCGCTGGACCCCAGACCACGGAGACCTCGACTCCCTCTTGTTTGGCCAGTGCGCTTCGAGCCTGGATCGAACCGTGGACACTGCGGTTTCGATTGTTTGGGCAACGTGTGGGCCGATTTCTTTGCTAAGCTGGGCGCGAAGCAGCGTGCCATTGCTGACATCGCCACCGCCACTTTAAAGCGCATTTGAAGGACGTTAAACATACAGGTCGCTCAGTTTGTCGCGTCTCAGGCGGGTTCCTCTTCCATGTCTGCGAGGCCCTGCTGTAACCCATAGGTGGTGCTCAGCTTTCCCTACTTTCTCACGACCTGGAGGTGGCGGAGAGTGTGGGGGGGGGAGGTGCACGTGGTGCCACTGCTCAGGCAAGACTTCGCTCTCTCGAGCAAAGATTGAGCAACCTGGCAATAAGTGTGAGCCCGCGCGGCTCCACTTGTATCTCGCAGCTGTCAGAGCCGAGCGTCACAATGGCCTCCTCCCTCGGGCGCGTAGTGATGCTGTCTTGAACGCCTGTCGTGAGCTGGGGCTCACTTATGATGGCCTGCACGTGCAGGCTTTGGAAACTTCCGAGTATCGGGGCCATTGCGTGCAAGCCACAGGCAAGTTAGTGATGTGCCGCCGCTGCGGCGCCCGTGCCTCCATCGAGGCCCCGGTGTGGAGGGGCCTTTTGGCGGACTGCAGAGGCCCTGCTAAGAGGGCCTCGGTGCAGTCCTGGCGCATTGATGCTGCTCTAGCGGGTCGCGAGGTCCGCTGGGTGATGCAGGCCATGGTGGCAGCCAGCGGCTGGTGCCGTCGTGCTGTTTGCCACCACGGCCTGTGCCCTAGTGGCCTTCGGCCTGTGCGGAGGGCTGCGGGACCGTGACACACGGGAATCCCGCGCCCTCCACTTTTCCCCCTTGCGCGCCAGCCCTCATCCGAATCGGATGCTGCGCCTCGGCCTGATCCCAGATCCTTTTTCGCTTCGCCCTCCTCGCTCCACTTCCTCCCTCTTCCTCCCCCCTTTTCTTTTTATTTTCGTCATATTCTTCCTCCAATTTTATATCTCCTCCTCCGACCTGCTTCATTCCCTCTCGTTCCTCCTCCTCCTGCTCAACCTCCTCTTCCTCCTCCTCCTCCTCCTCCTCCTCCTCCTCCTCTTCTCTTCCTCTTCATCCCGCATCCCACATCCTTCTTGTCAGAGGAAAGCCAGTGGAGACAACGGCGGTTCTTCCGCTGTGCCCAGATTCGCTCAAAATCTGCCCCATGACCTGTCTGTACATCCTGACTTGTTTTTGATTCGGATACAGCCGTGGAGACGAGAAGCGACCAGGAGACCCAAGAGGGGCGAACACCGCCAGGCAGGGCCAGTGTTGTCTCGACTGGTCTTCCTCCGACCGTCCCTCTTGCCCCCCTCACTCACTCGCCGAGGGGGCGCGTTAATGGAGTCTCCTCCTCCTCCTCCTCCTCCTCCTCCTCCTCCTCTTCCTCTTCTCCCCTTCTCCAGCGGGGGTCAGCCCGCAGGTAATGGACTTCAGCGCAAAACGCGGCCCATCTAGAGCGCCGAATCCTGCGGGATCCTGCAACGCCGGACTTGGGCTGGGCCGGGGTTGGGAGCCGCTCGCGGCCGGAGGTGGCTTTACACATTGGCCGAGCTGTGTGTCTGGGGATCCCCCCCATCAGATTTGTCTGTCGCCTGGCGATATCGGGCGTGACCAGGGGGGGAGGGCGGGGGGGAAGGAGGCCAGTCACGTCTCACGACTCGCGCCGGCGCCGCAAGGGAATGCCCAAGCATGACTCATTGCCAGACGGCGCCGTCGCGATTCGTGACGTGATCAGGGCGGGCCCAGTCGCGGGCGTTACGTGATCGCGAATCATAACAAAAACGGGTTTCAAAATTGCAGCGCCGTGGTTTCTCCGTGGGCTGAGTCGGACCTGCGCTGAGCTGGGTGCGTCCGCGCCCGAGGGGGGCCAGGGGCGGGCCGGCCGAGGAGACGTTCGCAGCCGCGCTCGAGCTGTGCCGAGGCGCCCTGGGGCAGCTGGCGGGCGGTAGGATCGGCCGGCCGTCGTCGTTGATAGCCGTCGTCGAGATCGTCGTCGCTCGTCATTCCAAGGCCCCCTCGAGTCGTGAAAAAATCGGAGCGGACGGTTTTTCGCTATTTTCAGCCTCTGGCGGCACTTCACGAGCTTTGGGGCCGTCAAAAACGAGTCGGGATGGAAACCCGGTTCTGGGGAATGGGTCGAGACCTTTGGGGGCTGACGTTGTGACAAAATCGTGAAGTCCTGGGTTTTCAGCGCAGTCGCCGTTTTAGTATTCTGGGCCCGTCGAGTAAGAGACCAGCCGGCCAGCAGGCGCCCCGGTGGACATATCTCTTATCCTCCCGGGGGCCGTGGGGAGTCACGTGGGACACCTGACGTCCCAGGAAGTCGGAAGATCGGCAGCACGTGTGCCCCTCATAGGCTTCTCCTAGCACGGCTTACCGTGTGTATATCTGTCGTATGTCTAAAAACCCAGGCCGCCCAGACGGAGTCGGAACGGATGGGGTCGGAGGATCGTGCCGCATCGCCGATGCATCGGCCATGCGGCTCGATGTGGAGCCAGGTCTTCGCCACGACGACGTCGCCGATGCATCGCGACGTCGCGGGCATCGCCGATGCATTAGATATGCGGCTCGATCCGCCGATCCCATCTACTTCGAACCCGGTAGGGCTGCCTCCATAGTCGTCGTCTCGATCGTAGTCGCCGATGTAACCGTCGTCGGATCGGACGGAGGATGTCGGATCGGAAGGATCGGCGGGCCCAGCGACGTGGCCAGGTGGCCCGCCCCCTGATCCTCTTCCTCCTTCTCCTCCTCGTCCTCCTCTTCCATTCCTTTTCCTTATAAATAACTTCTCCCAGTCGCACCCCGAGGCCAGTTTTTAGGGCGGGCCGGGCGTTTCGCCTGAGACGCCCTCACCATTTATGACGCTGAAGCTTAAAAAGTAGCCACTGATTTTCACAGATGGAGGGCGGGTGGTTTTCAACATGTTGCTCTCGCCTTAGCGCCCGCACATTCGTTGTAAAACTTTGCAAGAGTTTCGCGGTTTTCAGGCGGGCCGTTTTCAAAATGTGGTTTTCGCCTCAGCTCGGCGCACATTCGCTTTAAAGTTTGCAAGAGTTACACGGGTTGAGGGCGGGTCGTTTTCAAAATGTGGTTCTCGCCTTAGCTCGGCGCACATTCGTTTTTAAACATTTGCAAAAGGTTCACGGTTTGAGGGCGGGTCGTTTTCAAAATGTGGTTCTCGCCTTCGTTCGGCGCACATTCGTTTTAAGCAAGTGCAAGAGTTTCACATATTGAGGACGGTTCCTTTTCAAAATGTGGCTCTCGCCTCAGCGCGGCGCACAGTCGTTTTCAACATTTGCAGGAGGTTCACGATTCCAATGATCATCTTACCAGAAATAGTGCGTTGGAAGGATTCAGGATTATGCAGGTGCAACAGTTATGCTGATTCGCGGTGTTGAAGTCCCAGAATTGGCATTCTGGTACGGTTCCAGATCGCCACGACGCAGCAGTCAGGTTGATCCGTGGCGTTGAAATCCCGAGAACAATGCCTTGGCATGCTTCAGGGCCTTCAAACGGTCGTCTTTCAACGAGGCAGTTCCCTCAATGGAAATGAACCGTTGTATGGGGCCTATGAAGGGGGAGCTTGGAGGCAGGGTAAATTCCAACATCGTTGATGACGATTGGATTTACATTGGTCCTCCTCCTCCTCCTCCTCCTCCTCCTCCTCCTCCCCCTTCAGAGTCAGAGGAGGAAGACGCAGAGGAAGAGGAAGAACTGCTTTGCTGCTGACTAAAATTCAGATCAGCTCCCGACTGGGCCACAGGGGGCCCGATCCCCAAGTCGGGAATATCATTATAAATCTCTACAAAACTAGACGGTGGCAGGGCTGGCTCCTAGATGAAGCCGTCACTGGAGGTGTCCGTCGCGACCTGGATGAGCTTGTTGGCGTCGTCGATGCTGATCCCCCACTCCTGGAGGTTGTCTATGTGTGGCTGGATGCTGTACTGGTTGTCGCTCTCCTCAATCGTTTGGAAGAGCACCCAGTGGTCGTCCATGCTGGTGTCGATTATGCAGAACTCGCCGCGAGCTCCGTTGACCCCGAGCTTGTTGGAGTCGGGCGTCCACTTTCCTATGATCTGAAGCTTGCTGAGGACGTGGGGCCATAGACGAGACAGCGTTCGCTGTCGAAGCCGTGCTTGAAGTGGCATATCTGGCCGAACGCGGAGAGGTACCATTCTTTTTGTGCGAGGATCGAACCATCCAGGTAGGTGTTCACCGGCCCAGACGCGCAAGTTCTTTGCGTGCTGGTCATTCTCGCAATGGATGCTGTATGACATGGATACTTTGTGAAACTTTGCGGATAGCTCCGTGCCAAGGGTCGGCTCGGTCTCCGCGATCTTCTGCTTGACTGCCTCGAAGTGGTTGCGACGATGACTCTCTAGAATAGCACGTGGGAATCCCCCGACCCATATTCGACAAGGGTCGATCTCGTCATGACTCGCATTTTGCGGAGGGGGACCTGCCTCTGTGCGCCTCATCTTAACTCTTGAGGCTGATGAAGATGCTGTGGAAATAGTAGACGCTGGACGAGAGAGGGAGTTGAGTTGATTCTGGAGCGAAGCAACCTTCCCATCGATCATGGCCTGAACCCTGCTGAACTTCTCGGGGTCCTCCATCTGCTCGTCGGAATATTCATGATGTGTGCGATTTTCCTCTATGCGCTGCTCGAGGCCATGGAATCGAGTCTCCCATGAAGTGCTGATATTCGTGATCATGGACTGCATGTCCTCGTAAGTCTTGGTCTGCGCTTCGCTCAAGACCCCGATGGATGTCTCCATTGCCGCAGCTCGATTCTGGTATGTGTCGATCGCGGCGCGCATGGTGGATAACTCAGATGACAACTGCGCCGACTGGTTGTGTACGGCTGCCGTGAGCGCCTGTAGCGCAGTAGCGTCTGCCATGGCGAGAGAGACAGTGGAAGTTTTCTGATTCAGAGGGCAAAATGCTCGCGAGAATCCTTCCTCCACCCTGGGCAGGGCCACTGAACGGAGGGAACCCAATGTGGTCAACTTGGACCAACCTCGAGAGATGTATTACTTGAGCCAAAATGGCTTGAGCCAAAATGGCTTGATTACTTGACCCCACCAGTCTCCCTCTCCTCTCTGGGCTCTATGGATCCTCAGGCCTCAAGGCCACTACTTGGAATTCGCAAGGGCTCTTTGGGTCCACGCATGGGCATCATGAAACTACTGCTGGTAAGCACTCTCGTCGCCACTCGCTTTGTGCATCTCCTGGTATTGTTGGGATCCAAGAAACTCATGGGCACGAAGGGGACCTCGTCGCCATTAAAAATGAGATACCGCATCATGGGATCTACGGCTCATTCGACCCCCACTCGCACATTCGGGCGGGAATGCTCCTGGTCATCCATCCCGTCACCCTGGCCAAACTTCGGGACATTCGACCCTTCGAGGTCGCTCCTGGTCGCTGCCACGGAATTCGTGCGCAGGCGGAGTCTGGAGAGGTTTGCTTCATCAATATCGACATAGGTCCCAAGTTGAGCAGAGCTGAGAAGCGTCAGCTACTTCTGAGGATCCGTCAGGCGACACCTACACCAGCGCAGGCTCAGACGTTTCTGCTGGGCGACTTCAACTTCTCGGCTCCAGGCGAGGGCATTCAGTATGTGAGTGGCGAGATCCACCAGATGGCCATCGACGGCCTCGCGCGCTTCTTTGAAGTTCAGTTCCCCGACATGCTAGAGGTAGAGCAGCTCTCCCCCTCCCAGAGGATCACTACCGAAAACAATGGCATCCGGACCGTCAAAGCGTTAACCCGCATCGACAGAATCTTTACAAACTCATACACAGCCGACATGTGTGACTATCATTCACAAACAGGTACAGTCTGGGATGTATGTGATCTTCGGGCCCCTAGTGATCACTGCCCTGTTTTCCTTTCCCTGAGGCTCTCTGGACCTTCTTCACATCCTACTGTTCCCTCTTGGATCTCTAAGCGTCGTTGGTACCCTGCTGCTCTTCAACATATTATCGCTGATGCCGATTTCTCCGAGGACCCCCCTACCAGAGTTAAAGAAATTAAAGAGTGTATATATCTTGCAGCCACTCGCATTCGTCAGCAGACTAAGCATTTTCCTCCTGAGACTGCCGCCCAGCATTTGTCATGGCTATTTACAATCAACCGCGCCATGCACAGCAGGCGCGAGCACGTGATCAAGCCAGCCTTTAAGATATTGCCGAAGCTCGCCTCGTTCATAGATAGGGACACCTGCACGTGGATCGATCGGCATGGGCTTCATCAACACATGGGGGAGGTGGCTAGAGGAGGTCTTGAGGAAGAGAGGAAGGAGTTGATGCAGGATTTTGTTCCCGATCGTTTTCGAGATGCTCGGCTGGCCAAGATTCAAAGACTAGTCCAATCCTGGGCCCCGCGGAATCGAAAGATGGCCCTCGCTGGAATCCGCGCGCCTGATGGGTCTCACTTCCCTTCGCTTGAAGTAGGCGCGGATGCGCTTCGCCACCGCTGGGCCAGAGTGCATAGCGCTGATGGAGCCTCTCACGAGGTCGCCGCCGAGCCTGCCCCGTTCATCCAGCCCGTCCACCCTGCAGTCGAATGGCAGCTCTCTCGGGATCGTTTCCACCACGTGATCAGCCACTTTCGGGATTGTGCCTCTGGCCCAGACGGGCTGTGCTACTCTGCTTGGAAGTACGGAGGTGAATTTGTTATTGACGCTTTATATGATTTCTACTGTTACTCCCAGACAGGTGCCCCACTCGCCGAGGACTTCAACAAAGGTTTGATGGTATTTATCCCGAAAGGCTCCCACCAAGAAGATGTGAACAGCTTCTGGCGTGCCCCCGATGATGTTCGCCCGATAACATTTAGTAACACGGACGCAAAAAGGTCTTAGGCTCGGCGCTGAACAAGGCCCCCTCCGACCAGCGCGAATTAGGCGCCAGTGAGGCCCAGAACGGCTTCGTCTGCACGCGCCATATGTCTGACAACATTTTGAAGCTCGGGTGCAACGTGCTGCGATATGGCATCTTGCAGTGTATCAAGAGCGCCGGCTCCGTCCTCCTGGATGCGAAGGCGGCCTTCCCGAGTCTACTGCACTTCTGGATCAAGTTCGTGTTGGCTAGCATGGGGTTTCCAGACTTTTTCTTGAATTCGGTCAAGGCTCTCTATAGCAAAATCCCCGTGGACATGCTCCTGGGAGGCCGCCGGTTTCCTGGATTCGAGATCGGCCGTGGGGTTCACCAGAGACGCCCGATGTCAGGAAGTATTTTCGTCCTTTGTCTCGATCCAGTGCTGCGCCAGATTCAGAGCAGACTACCGAGCCCTCAGCACTCGCTGAGCGCGTTTGCCGACGACGTGGCCTTCTTCTCTCAGGATTTGCACAGAGCCCTGCCAGTGCTGATGCGTATTCTGATGAGAGCATCACTGGTCACAGGCCTCGTGATGAACCTTGCCAAGTGTGTCATAGTCTTCGATTGGCAGGAGATCGACCGTGAGGAGGAGTTGAGGAGATTCCAGGACCAGGGAATTCGCGCTCGAAAGTTTGCTATTCAGAACTGGGGCAAGTATTTAGGCATTCATCTGGGCCACAGAAGTATCGTGCTCTCCTGGACTAGTCTGATCGCCAAGTATCTCGAGCGCTGCCGTTTCATCCGCTCTCTCGCTGGAGGCCTCCATCAGGCTATTATGTCTTATAGTTCCATCGCCATCTCCGTCCTCATGTTCGTCGCCTCTTCCTTTGCCTTCCCAAAAGAAGCTACTGACGCCGAGAGGGACGGCCTCCAGATCTTGACAGCATGTCCAAGATATGCTATCCCGAATGCGGTCCTGTTCCAGTTTAAGAATATCTTCAGCAACAGCTGGAGTGCTCGCTCCTTGTTGCACGAAGGACGAGCTGCACTCTACAGGAATGCCGCAAGGTCTCCGATCTTTTGGGACTGTAAATCGGAGCTGGAGGAGGTACTGGAAGGGGGATGACCTGATCCTGGGGTGGAGGTTCAACAAGTTTTATCAACACTCCCCCTGAAGCAGATGGTTGGTTTATACAATTATGTCTGGAGTCCCCCTCGGAATATCCAGAATCGCCCTTGGGAAGATGGTGTTCTCGAGTGTCCGAAGCTCCAGAGAGAGCTCAAAACATGTCTTCACGGTCTCTTCCCGTTTGAATCCCTGCAGGAGAAGATCGGTGCCCGTCTCAGGTACTGGAACGTGCACATCACGCCTGACCAGATATCTGTGGCTGTTCTACGTTTGTGCATGCTGGGTCACGAATACCCCTGCTTTATTGGTCTAAGTATCCTCAGATGTATGTGCAATGCTATGAATACTTCTCGTCGTTATCGGCAAGCGTGCGAAGGTTGTCGCTTCGGATGTAGTGGTGCTGCTGATATCCTACATAACTTTTCGTGCCCTCATGTAGTTCCTGTAGTGAAGCGTCTCTTCCCCTCTCTTCCTGACTGGTGGGGTAATTGTGACCCTAGGGCGTGCTTTGATATGTACTCTAGAGAGTATTCTTGCACGGACGAATTTCATGCCACTGCCGTCACTGCTGACCTTGCGCTCACTAGTTTCAATAATTTACGCGCTCGCGATTTATTTTCTCACCCTCGGGGGGTCAAATTCCTGGAGGGTCGGTTGCGCCTGTCGGCGACGAGGTGTGCTGGAGTGAGGGCTTTGACACACTGACGAAGGGTGGCTGGGCTGATCGCCTGGCTGGCGGACGAACTCGGCGCGCCTCAGGGAGCGCGTCTCTCCTCCTCCTCCCCCTCCTCCTCCTCCTCCTCCTCCTCCTCCTCCTCCTCCTCCTCCTCCCCCTCCTCCTCCCTCCTCCTCCTCCTCCTCCTCCTCCTCCTCCTCCTCCTCCTCCTCCTCCTCCTCCTCCTCCTCCTCCTCCTCCCCCCCCCCAGGGCTTGCCAAGCAGAACTGTCCCGAGCCCGGCGGGTGGAGAAGCGGACCGCCCAAGCGGAGAAGGGATGAGGAGATGGGGAGGGAAGGGGGAGAGGTGACGTAATTAATCAAAAGGGCAAGGGGGAGATGTCAACCTGGACGTCCTTCCACTTCCGCCCCCACCTTTCTGACCCGTTTTCCCAACCAGATCCAGCTGTGGCGACGAGGAACCTCCATGAGGCCCAACAAGGACGAACAGCAGTGCCTGGGAGGGCCACCGCTGTCTCGACTGGCCCTCCGACTGGCGGCGGCGGCGACGACCTGCAACGACGACGACGACGACCCCACTGGCCAGTGGCAGGCGGCGATGTGTTCAGCTGGCTCGCGGCCGAGTCGAAGCGCGCAGGCGGCGGGTTGCGCGGGGTGTTTCCGTGGGCCTACGGGCCGCCGCCTGGTGGGCGCCGAGCGGCGCGCAGGGGGGGGGGCTTGGCGCGAGGTGGGCGGCCTTCTGCTGCAGTCCCGGCGCTGAGATAATGACCGCTCTGGGCCCAGCAGGGGCTACGGTTTCGGGCTCGTTGCTTCGGTCTCGGTCGCGGGAGCCCTTCGTTGACGAGGTTCGCCGTGGCCAGACAAGCTCTTTCGTGGCTCATTCGGTGCTTCTTTTTGGCGTAGCGCGATCGCTGTAAGCAGGGCGGGGGCGCTTCTCGGGAAGAGCCCCGCCCTGCAAGACGCCCCCCTTGCCTTTGAGCAGGCTGCCCCTCCTCCCTCCCCCCTCCCAATCGTGCGCGCCGCCCGGGTGGGGGAGCAACCTCGTCGCCAGGGCCGAGGGGGGGGCCTGCCAGGTGAGGCGGTTCAGACAGGTCGTCGCCTTCGAGGGTCGAAACAGTTGCCATTTGTTCCTCGGCGGAAGGCGGCGGAAGGGCGGCGGAAGAATGCAGCCGAAAGTAAAGCTGGAGGAAAAGAAACGGCAGAATCATGAACTTTTGGAGGTCCGCGCGGATTTCTTGGATTAGAACCCCCTCCCTGGCGCGCGAAGCGCGCC